CAGACCGCGAGGGCGCGGATACGGATATGTTCGCTGCTCGTCACGGCCTTCCTGGATTTCGGGGGCGGTGGAGATGGACGTGTTTTGGGCCCGCTGGGGCTCAGAAGTATCAATGTCCACCGCCTTCTGGTGTCCTATGAGATCGGCGTTCCTGGGCGGTGGATGTGGATTAACCCTTGCCTCGCAGATCTTGCCTTGGGTGGGGGGGGACAGTGAGGAAGGCATGCTTATCTGGAGAATCGGAGCAGGTCTGGAATGAGCAGCAATGGTGACCTCCAGCAGTTCCTGCCCATTTGGATGACAGTATTCGCTGGCGGTGTCGCCGCGGCTGTTGTACGCTTGGGGCAAGCGCCACAACAGCGGACGCCGCTGGTTTGAGACAACGTTTGCTCTCGGGTATCGTCCCCATCTCGGACGTACCAGACCGATGACGATATCCCTCCCCCCCGCTTTCGCCCCTCTCGGGGTTTGGGGGTGTGGTGGGCGGCCCATCCCTCATCGCCGCGGCCAGGCTCGTCTCAAGAATCTTGGCCAGACCGCGCCCTGGGAGAGGTCCGTCCCGGGGGAGCAGCATTGTGGGTAGCTTGGGCCTCGCATGATGGGGGGGCGAGACATTGGGGGGAGCGATGGCTGCAGAGAAGGGGCCCTTCGGGGCTCCTAAAGGGGCCCTTTAGGGCCCAAGAGGGGCCTTTCGGGCCCGAGAAGTGCACCTTTCTTTCCCGACCCCGTGTATCGCCCCCCGCCCGTGAAGCTACGCCCCCATATTTTTCTGTTCCCATTTGGCGGGGGGGTGGCAGGGAGTGGAGGCAAGTAGTAGGAGGATTGTTATTGGAGGAGGATGGGGGCGAGGGGGAAGGATAGAGAAGGAGAGGGAGGTTGAAATGGATGAGGACATGCTCATTTGTTTTAAGTTGCACATGGTTGGTGACCTTCGGCCCATCTCGCCACCGTGCCTGGGTTTGGTGGATCAGGGCCTCTTGTATGCAATATTGGGTCTCTTGGAATACTCTTCGGGGCCTCGTGGAGGGTTTGTTGGGGGCCTCTTGGGGTCATCTTAGGGTCGCTTGAGGGCCTCTTGGGGCTTTTGGCGGGATCTTGTGTCCATACTGGGGTGGAGGGCTCGAGGTGTCAGCTCGTATTCTCCCTCTTGGGGCCCTTTTCGGGCTCTCTAGAAGGCGTCATGGGCCCTCTTTGGGGACCTCTTGGGCAGTCCTGGCGCCCTCCTGTGCAGTCTTAAGGGCCTCATGCGGACCTATTGGGCCGTCTTGAGGCGATCTTGTGGGCCATCTGGGCCGTCTTGGGTGTTCGACAGCCCGAACAAGCGAGACGCCAGAATCTTCGAACAGTCGTGAGACAACTCAAGTAATATTGCACCTTGGGGCATCTTGGGAGCCGTCTTGAGTCCGTCTTGGGCTGTCTGGGAGAGCTCTTGGGCCACAGGGAGGGGGGACGGAGGAAAGAGGGGAGAGGAGGGAGCAGTGACCTAGGGAGCAGTGACCTGGGTCACCGCACGAACTTCCTGATGATGTCCGTGATGTTGATGGGCGTTTGTTGTATCACCAGTTGGCTCCTTTTTACTCTGCGGGGTATAATCAACACTCTGAATCTACCAGAAGCATACCTTGATATTGCTTGGAGACAGGAGTTGGAGGTAAGAGGTTGAGGCAGGGAGCAGGAGGAAACGGAAGCGGGCAGGAGGCGGCGGCGGATGGGTTTCGTTCCGATCTCAGGTGTCCTCTGAGTCCGTCTCGGGCTGCTCTGCTCCAACGAGGCCCGCCAGAGCCACTCACACCGCGGCGGCTGCAAGGGCTGCGGGGGGGAGGACCTCAAAGGCGAGCGAGGTTTACAAGCGAAGTCGGAGGAAGGCGACGCCAGTCGGAGGCCAGAAGCGCACAAGGGCCAAAACTTTGGACATCTGCGGGAAGTTCCCCCCCGGCGCCAGACACCCTTTCCCGCACCGTTCGGCGGCACTTTCGGCACTGGTCCTCGAGAAGCGATTTCCACTCCCGACGGGTGCGTGGAGGAGGCCCAGCGCTTGTGGAGAAGCCGTCCGCGGACGTCCGAAGTTTAGCACCCGAGAAGCGGTTGCTCTGAAGGGTTATTTCTTCGGCTGTGAGTATTTGTCTGAGTGTCGCGAGTCGTGGCCCTGTGTTCGCGCGTGGCCGCCGCGTGGGCGCTTTTATTGCTACTACGACTACTGCTACTGCTATTGCTACTGCTGCTGCTGCTGCTACTACTACTACTACTACTACTACTACTACTACTACTGCTGCTAATAGGTATGAGTCTACCCCACCACTACTACTACTACTACTACTACTACTACTACTACTACTACTACTACTACTACTACTACTACTACTACTACTACTACTCTACTACTACTACTACTACTACTTCTACTACTACTACTACTACTACTACTACTACTACTACGACTACTAACTACTACTACTATTACTACTTACTACTACTACTTACTATACTACTACGCTACTACTACTCTACTACTACTATTGCGATGGCTAAGGCTAGGACCATTACTACGACTGGTGCTACTGAGACCACCCACTTCTACTACCACCACTGCTTCCACTACTACTACTACTTACTACTACTACTACTACTACTACTACTACTACTACTACTACTACTACTACTACTACTACTACTACTACTACTACTACTACTACTACTACGACGACTACTACTACTACTACTACTACTACTACTACTACTACTACTACTACTACTACTACTGCTGCTGCTGCTGCTGCTGCTGCTGCTGCTACTACTACTACGACTACGAATACGACTACGACTACGACCACGACTAATAGTACGACTGTTGCTACTACTACTAGTACTATTACGACTACTACTACTACCACCACCACCACTACTACTACTACTACTACTACTACTACTACTATTACTACTACAACAACAACTACTACTACTACCACTACTACTACCACGACTATGATTAGTACTACTACTACTACTACTACTACTACTGCAACTACTACTACTACTACTACTACTACTACTACTACTACGACTACTACTACTACTCTACTACTACTACTACCTATCGACTACTACTACTACGACTACTTACTACTACGACGACTACTACTACTAATTACTACTATACAACTACACTACTACTACGAGCTTACTACGACTACTACTACTACTACTACTACTTACTACTACTACTACTGCTACTACTATTACTATTGCGACTACCTCTACTACTTCTACTTCTATACCCCTACGATTTCGATTATTTGTTTTACGGTCACTACTACTACTACTACTATTACTACTACTACTACTACTACTACTACTACTACTACTACTACTACTACTACTCTTACTACTACTACTACTACTACTACTACTACTACTACTACTACTACTACTACTACTCTTACTACTACTACTACTACTACTACTACTACTACTACTACTACTACTACTACTACTACCTCTTACTACTAGTACTACTCTCACGACTATTTCGGCTAGTGCTACCACTCACTACGATGTGTACTACTACGGCTACGACTACAACGAATACTGCTACAACCATTACACTCTACGGCGACGACGGCGACGACTACTACTACGACTGCAGAGACTACGTTGGCGACTACGACCACTGCCACGGCAACCACGACTCATATCATGAGTGCGATCGCTAGTCTTATTTTGATTAGCTCATTACGGCTACTTCTTCCTCTTCCACGACCATTACAAGTATACCGCTTTTATTTCAACGATGTCTGATATTATTCCCACGACGACTACCCATACTACTACTACGACTACTACCACTACCAATTACAACTACTACTATCACTACTACTACTACTACTACTACTACTACTACTACAACTACTACTACTACTACTACTACTACTACTACTACTACTACTACGACGGCTACCACTACTACTAGCACTGGTACGGCTACTCCTGCTACTACGACTACTACGACTACCACTGTTATTACTACTACTACGACTACCACTACTAGTACTACGGCTACTACTACGACTACTACTACTATTATTACTACTACTACTAATACTACTACTGCTGCTGCTGCTACTACTACTACTACTACTACTACTACTACTACTACTATGATTACGATTACGATCACTGCGACTACTGACACGACCGCTCTCACTACGACTTTTACTTTGGTTACTACTACTACTACTACTACTACTACTACTACTACTACTACTACTACTACTGCTACTACTGCTACTACTACTACTACTACTACTACTACTACTACTACTACTACGGCGGCGACTACTTCTTCTACTACTCGCTACTGTTGCTTCAGAATCCTTTATTAATTGTACTAATCTTACTACTGCTATTACCACCTGCCACATCTGATATTACTAGTATTACCAGCTTTTTTGTTTCTACTACGATGACGACGTTTCTTAGTACGACTACTACTGCCCCTGCTATCACAGTTAGTACACCATGAGTACCTCATTACTGCTCCAAATGTACTTGGTTTGCTATGGCTATGAGCAATCGCCTCGCGGGCGCCATGTGCGCTGGCTGCTTTTTAAAAATGTGTTCTCGGTGTGCACGCTCATGTTGTCTTCTCGTTTGGGGATCCTGCCGTTACTTTTTTACTACGACTGGCACTATGGTGCAATCGGTAGTATTACGTTTACGGGTAGATTGCAGCAGTTAGGTTGCACCATATAGATTGCAACAGTCGGGATGCACCATTCACATTTTGCACATCAGCGAATGCACATCGAAAAGGCAATCACATGATGTTTGGCGTCCACGCTCGCCAACATGTTTACGTGTGTTGTTTTCTGGCCTCTTGCTTAGATGAACGTTCGTCAGGCCCGCGCGTCTCCGCGAGCAAGAGGAAAGTGAAGAGGAGGCGAAGCACGAGTTCCAGCAGCCGCTCCTCGTCTTCTGGCGGGGCGGCATTCGCCAGAGCGGCGATGGGACTGGCGCTGTACCAGCAGCAGAGCATGCAGTTCGCTCTCGCTCAGCAGCAATGGGCCGCTTGCAGCGGAATGCTGTGGCCTGGAGCCATGTCCATGCCACTGGTGCCTCCGCAGGCGGACACGTTTCAGATGGACCCGCGTGGTATCTCGATTGCCGCAGCTCTTCCGGGCAAGCGGCTGACAGCATCCGCCGGGGCCAGCGTTAGTGGTGGGGCAGGGCATCCTCTGGCGGCGCGCAAACGGGGCCGGGGCCAGGCGAGCGGCCTTCCTGATGTGTGGGGCGCTTTGGGTCGTGACGGGCGGGGCCCTTCCAAAACGCCCCCTGCCTTTGAGAAGGCCCCCCCCCTGCGCCCCAGCCCCTCTTGCTTGTCGCCAGCTCCTGCCAGCTCAAGGCACGGTGGCGATGGGGAGCAGCTCTCGCGGCCAGGCCTGGTGGAGGACCACCCGCGCCCTCTGCGCCCGCAGGCGCTGAGGTGCTCGAAGCTCGTGAAGTCCGTGGCGGCCCGCGCGAGAGCGAGCGCGCAGCCCGGAGGGCCCCCTGCCCGCCTCGGTGGCTTCGTCGGAGCCCCGGCGCCCGAGAGGCTGGAGGGCGGCGCGTGGGAGGCGCCGCGGTCGGGCGCGGGCCCGTTCCTGCTCGGGGAGCTCGCGGCGCCGAGCGGCGTGCGGTGGGCCTACCCGCTGCGGGACGAGTCCCGGCGCAGCTTCGCGGGGCACCTGCCCCGCCCCCTGCCGGCGGAGGTGTGCGCCGCGTATTTCGAGGATCGGTGCGATCGAAAGGGGTAGCCTGGTAGCCTCAGGGGGTCTTTAGCTGTGTCCCCACTCTGTTTCCTTCGGCGGGGAGTACACTCGCCCCTCATCCTGCTCCTCGTCCTCCTGCTCCTCCCCTACCTAACTACTCGTAGCAGTACTCGCATCGTGGTTGTAGTCGTAGTCGTAGTAGTAGTCGCCGTCGTCGTCGTCGTCATCCTTGTCCTCGTCGTCGTCGTCGGTTTGGTTGTGGTTGTGGTTGCGCGGCGGGTGCCGCGGATAAATAATAAGTGTCCACGATTGGCCGCGGAAAAGATAGTTAGTTTCCAAGTATCGGGGGGATCCGATCTGAGAACCTATGGCGGCTACAGAAGGAAGGGGTTCGAAGACCTACATCAGTTCCTGTTCGTTTTGAACAGGACTCGTTGTCGGTGTCGCCGCGGGCGTTGTCCGGTCGAGACGGAAGACCGGCTGCCCACCAGCGGCCCCTGTCGATTTTGGATACATTTTGTAGTCTGGGCATCGTACCCATTTCGTCCGTACCCACTTCGGGCGCCCGAATAGGAGATCCTCGGCGGTGTTCAGTGGAGCCAGCCCATGGGCAGGATCGGGCCGATCCCTAGGAAGACTGCGTGGTTGGTCAGCGCGGGTTGCCAGTGCGCCTACAGGTACGGGAGCTTGGAGGTGACTCCCCAGGAGTTCCCACCCTGGATGTTGGGTCTGATGCGGCAGGTCATGCCACTCTGCGGCTTGGCCGGGCCAGAGGACTTCCCAAATTGCTGCAACCTCAACTTGTACGAGGGAGGCGGCAACTCAGTGGGTTGGCACTCGGACGACGAGGCCCTCTTTCAGGGGAAATTCTCAGATTGCCGCATCATCTCCCTGTCGCTTGGCGTAGCGCGCAGATTCGAGTTGCGCCTGAACTGGCCAGAGCCTGGTGAGAGAGCCACGGTGTGCATACAGGGCCTCGAAGTCTATGCAAAGAGGTGCTCCTATCCATCTGCGCCTCGCTCCTCCCCACGATTATCTCAGAGGGGGATGGGAAACGATGTTATCTAGTGGCCTTCCGTCCTAGCACCGTGCCTAGGAGGCCTTGTTCAGGCATTGTTGGATCTACCGGGAGGCCTACTGGTGGCCTCTTGGGAGCCTTCTGGTGGCCTACATGGGGCCTCTTGGAGGTATATTGGAGTGTCTTGGGAGCCCATTGTGAGCCATTCTGGGCTTCTTTGGGCTCGAAATGACCGTTCGGGTTCCCCCTTTTGGTCTCCTCTCGGGGCACTTTTTTGGAGGCTCTTTGGGCCCTCTTGGGGGCCCTGCGGGCCGTGTTGGAGGGATATGTTGGGCTTCTCGGGCCGACTTCGCTCTGAAGACCGAAGAGCTGTGGATGCTTGAGTCACCTCAACGCCTCCAAGGCGGCCAGAGGCTCTGGAGAAAGCTCCAGCACGGATCCCTGAGGCCATGTTGGAAGAGTGGAACCCGAACCACGCTCTCGAGGTCTGCGAGAGCTTGGCATCGCTCGGACGTGTGCATTTTCTTCTCGGCGAGGACCATCGACGAGCAGCTTGGATCATCTTGCGAAGAAAATCATGCACGAAACCGAAAAGTGCACGGGAAATGGACGTCCGAGCGATGGCGAGAGAGAGCCGCGCGGACATCCGCGATGCGGGAAGCCTGGGGCCTGGGCCCCCTGCAAGGAGCGCACGTGCCGCGCAGAGAGGGAGAAAGAGCTCGCAGGGGACCCGAAGACGCCGCACTTCGTGCCCAGCTGGGGTGTTGCTAGAGGCGCCCCTGTTCGGGAACTGGAACATATACGTTACCAGTGGCGGGCTGTCTTGCAATCCCAGGAATTTCCGAGGGTCGGGGGCGACGTCGGGATGGTGTGGTGTATACTTTGTTCCCCGTTTTCCAGTGGAAACAACGAAACATGTATACACCGCTTTCTTGTGCGAGTTCCAGTGCGGGGCCAGAAAAAGCGTCGGTGTATAGAGTTCGGCTCCTTACCTGTTCCAAGGTGCCCCCAGGATTTCCAAGGAGGCCCCCAGTCTGCAGAGCAACCCTCACGGGGCCCGGGGGGCCCCAGCAGCTCCAGAGTGCAGCGAGAAAGGCTGAGGGCACCTCGGGCCAGGGGCACTTCTAGCAGCCCCCGACTGGCGGCACGGTGGCGGACGAAAAGGGGGGAGGAGAGCCATCCGCTTCTTAGATTTCTTGGCCCTGCGCGTCTCGCTGGGCGACGGTGATCTGTGCACCATGGAAGGCATGACGCAGAAGCACTTGCAGCATCGGGTGCCCGCGGAGACAAATGTGAGCGGTGCCCGCATCAATCTTGGAGTCGTGAGCGTCTGCAACCTCAGAAGAGTCCTGAGTCAGAGGTATGCCTCGAATCTGCTGCAAGCTCGATCCTTATCTGCCTGTTCAAAGCAAACCTGTTGCGCTGCCGGGAATGTCTGGGCACCGCGCTTGTTGAAGCTGCGCGGCAACGTCGCAATTAGCGTGGCACGGTTCGGCATTGCATGGTTGCCATGGTGCCTCTTGATAGCCCTGTTCGGGGCCTCTCCGGGGGCGTCTTTTGGGGTGCCTCTCGGGGTGCCTCTTGCGCGACCGTTTGGGCGGGCTCTTGGAGTTGGCTGCGAGTTTCTTCGGGCCACCAGGCATGTCGGAGCGTCTTACTTGGTCTCGGGGCCATCTTTGGCCGGTCGTGGCCTGGGGGAGGGGGGGGGGCACGATCCACCGCGCCACAGCCCACGAACGTATCAGGATCTTCGCTCGGGGCACAGCTCGACACCCGGAAAGGGGGGAGGCATGAACGGATCTGGGCCCCGCGTGGGCGCAGCGTCGGTTTCGACGACGGGCGGGCCACGCGGAGCATCTGATCTCGCGGGTGCTCACGGCTCCGGACCGTCTCACCTGGCGGTGGGTCAAGAAGCACACGCCCCGCTGCCCCGCGGGCCGCCTGCGGCACCCGTGACGCCGCCCGCGCGGCGCGGTCTGCCAGCAGGCGAGCCGATGGGCCAAAAAGAGCTTAGCACGATCGGCACGTCCTTCACGAGCGGCAGGCATCCATACTTATCTACGCCCTCGCGGCCTGGAGACGTGGGCACGCGACCTCACGGGCACGTTCCGCGCAGGGCTTCCGCCGAGAAAGCGCCCCGTCTCCATGCCAGAGGCCCGGGCCGCGAACCAGTCGACATCAGAAGAACAACAGGCGTCGACAAAAACACGATTGATCCGAGCTTGCAGTTCCGCGCGGATTTCTTGGGTCTGGGCAGGAACGAACCCCCTGGCGGCGCCGCCCCTGGCGAGCCCCGCGCGCCAGGCAGGGGGTCTCCGCGCAGATCGCGCGGCCCTTGTCGTCTTCTGCTCTGCTGGTCATGGACACGCCTCCCGCCACCCCATCCGCTGCCCTGCCTGTCTCGGCTACGCGCAGACAGGGGTACAGTGGGGGCCCATGCCAAGAAGCACCCTGCTTGCCTCCAGGGCGCCCTGGGTTTCTTGGGTGTCGATGGTTTTGCTATGGAGAGCGTGACGTTCACACACCAAACATCAATGGTCATCTTGGGTTCTCGGGGTTCGGTTTCTTGTGAAAGGTTTTGGACTGGCCTCCACTGTAGGGGGAGGGGGAGGGCTTCTTAGCAGGAGGCTGCTTTTTAGAAGGCGCCGGCCTTGTCTCTAAATGTCAGGCCGGCGCCTTCTAAGAAGCAGCTTCCTTCGAAGACCCCCTCCCCCTATCCCTCTCTGCGCGCCGCCATCTGTCTTCTTTGCAGTGATCGCTGGCGGACCCTCTTCCAGAGCCGTCGCAGCAGGGTCGCTTCCGAATCGTTTTCCGGGTCGTGGCTCCCCGCTGAAAGGAAGCTGCGTTCGACATTTCCGCCGCCACCTCAATGGGACCGCATCCATCCATTAATTCCTGCCTGTCGCCTTGTCTATAGATTGAAGGCCGGGGCCTTCAATGTGCAGACTCCTTCAAAGACCCCCTCCCCCTACCCCCCTTAGCGCGCCGCCATCAGTCGTCGTGGCACTGATCGCCGGCGGACGGTCTTCCAGACGCGTCGCAGCAAGGTTGCTTCCGAACCCTCTCCGGGTCGAAGGTCCCTGCTGCAAGGGAGTTGCTGAAAGGGAGCACATCCATCTATCCATCCCTGCTTGCCGCCTTATGTATAAATGTAAGGCCGGCGCCTTTCAGACGCAGACTGCTTCAACGAAACCTTCCTCCTCCCCCTACCCCGTCGTCGTGGCAGCGATCGCTGGAGCGGGAGCCACGGTCCTGGGCCCAAGAGTCGCCTGGCCAACGGCGGTGGATCAGTATAGGTCTCGTCGCCTTGTCGGGGCCGTCACCCCTCCTCCTCCGCCTCCTCCTCCTCCTCCTTCGCCTCCTCCTCCGCCTCCTCCTCCTCCTCCTCCTCCTCCTTCTCCTCCTCCTCTTCCACGTGGAGACGACATGATCCCGACCTTCTGGATTTCGAGGCACTGGCGGCCACGACCCGCGTCCGGAGGACGATCAACATTGACTCAGAGCACGCGCAGGTGGGTCACGACATGTTCGTACAGTTGTTGGCACACATACGAGCACGAGCACTTCTACCCCAGCACGCCCGGGTCAGTCATGCTATCGCCATCGGCAAGCCAGGCAAAACCCCGACGGGAAACGACGTCACTGACATTACAAAATGCTTGCGTATACTGCATTGTTTCTGTCATTGGTGGCGAGTGCTGTTACGTGTCGGGCTAGTAGATTTCGGCAGTCGGTTTGACCCCCCTCCCTGGGCATACGGCGGCATCATCCATAGGCGGAGGGAGGGACTCATGACCATCATCAAACTCATCATGTGGAAACTTCGACGGTGTCATCATTATTATCTGGTCAAGTCGTATGATATGCGCAACGCCTTTGGCACGGGCATGCACGAGCGCTTGTTCAACGCACACAGGTCACGGGGAGTTGACGAATACTATGACGAGTTACTCACGCACCACAGGAGCACGGGCATTTTATATTATCAAGCACGTGATGGTGGCGTCAGTTTACATCCCACGACGGGGGGCAGAATGGGAGACTCTAACGAGCCTGAGCTATTCATGGATGCATTCTACCCTCTTGTTAGTATGTGGCAGCGAGAGTTGAACACGATAATCGGCGACGATTTGCTATGCCATGACCCCTTACACGAACCAGGAGATCACGTAGGTGACACATCTGATCCCAGCGGTACAGATATTGATGCCTCGTTCGGCGGATTTATCGACGACTTGATTCGTGTGATCATCGTTCCCACGGGCACGGTGCAGGAGGCGTTGCAACTAGATTACTTGGACAATCGCATCCTAGATAAGCGACTTCAGGAGGGCGGGTACGCCCAACACGTCGACAAACAGGAAACCCTCGTTCATCTGGCCACGGCTAAGGACACGAAGGAAGCCGAGGCACGGATCTCAGGAAAAGCCATGACCAACCTTATCCACTTGGGCGGGTTCATCCACGTTCAGGGCAGTAACAGAAGAGAGATCAGGGCACGCATTAGAGCAGGGTCTATCGGGTGGAGCAATCTTCGGCAGTACTGGTTCACGGCGGGTCCTTGGCGAAGCATGCGCAGCACATTCCTAGCTAATGTAGCGGGCAGAGTATGGTCGGGTCTGGAGGCGTACGTGCTTACCACGAATGAGCTTAAGGACATCGACACGTCACTAGCCAAGAAGATGCGAGCTATGTTGCACGGGCGCGCGCATGTTGAGCACGAGGACGGCACGCACACATCCTGGACGACCAAGCAGATTTTCGAAGAGTGGCGAATCCCGCCGACTGGAATCGAGCTTATGGTCCGTCGTCTTAGATGGTGGCAGTCCATCGCAGGGAACCCCGAACACCACCGCCATTATCTTAGTATTTTCTTTCGAGATTGCCGATTTGAGCGACGAGCCAGAGAGGCGGGCAACGAGGTTGCAGATGCCACTGTCTTGCCGAATGGGGAGCTCAACCCGTCTCCACACATCCACCCGTGGGCCCTCCAGTTTTCTCAGGACCTGAACGCGGCCCTGGCCCACCCGACTGGTGAGGAGCTCAAGGAAGTCTGGCAACCCCGTACGATGGCCAATTTCTTTGGGAACCCTGAGGTCACCGAGGCTTTCAGATATTGTGATTTTCGAGCGATGAGAACGACGGCATGGGCACGCGAATGGGCCCCACCTGAATTTCTCTTGGAACAATTACCGAAGGAGGGGGAGGAGGTGGGGGGCACGGAGAGTGACGAGGCCGAGCTGGCCCCGCTAGTTTGCGGGATCGAGGGCTGCCGAGCACGTTTCGCCACCAATAGGGAGCTCGTCAAACACCAAATATGGGCCACGACGCTCCCTGCACTGGACACGGCACCCCCCCGATCTTGTCCGTCATTACGCTCGACAATAAATGCCTTAGCTGCCAGACGATCTTCGGCAGCGTGGATCACACGCGGAGGCATCTCAGTGGCGCGTGGAGAGCAGGCAGGTGTATTCAGAATCTCACTCGCCACTGTTATGATTGGACCCCGTCTGCTGAGACACGCTGCCCGTTGGCTGAAGATACGGATCAACCAGAGTGCCAGGAACAGTACGACGACCCAGCAGAGCTGCGGGCACACCTGGCCACACACATTCCTCATACATCCGTAGGGCTTCGGCTCACAGTCACTCAGCCTCAGCCAGCGCACAGTGTCCGCGCCCCAGCCGGCGCCCCCAGGCCAGGCGCGCCACCGCCGACCTTCGACGACCTGGACGACACTCCCGACCTTCGTGCAGACCTGCGCGCAGCGTTTCGTCAACTTGCTGCACGACGCCAGGCTCGGAGACGGGCGCGAGAGGGACGGACCAGTGCGACGACGAGTGGCAGCTCGACCTCCGCCGACCTCTTCTTCTTGGCCACCCACCTCGGCACCTTCGCGGGTAACAGCCGCGAGCACACCGCTACTGCGACCTCGCCAAGCACCGCCTGCTGAACCTCGAGCACCACCTGCACAAGATGTCGGGCGGCGCGGCGGCAGCGGCGACGGGCAGCTTCCAGGAGCCAGGCCCCCCTCGGCCGAGAGCAGCGTGGCGGACGGCCGCCCCAGCGGCATCCTCCCAGGCGTCTGGGAATTCTGGCGGCGACTCCAAGCCTCCCGACCCGAAGAAGGGAAGGAAGGGCGACAAGGACAGGGACACAGCCATGGACGACGCCAAGGGGGAGCTGCAGAAGATCCTCGACGGCAAGGCTGGAGGCAAAGGACGACATCGAGGAGGCCGCCGTCATCGCCGAGGCGGCCACACGGAGAAGAAGTGGACGAGCAAGGACGCGAACATCCAGCAGTGCTTGGCCGCGATAGCCAAGCTATCCCTCCAGACAGCGCAGCGGCAGCGCCTGACGATGGCGACGGTGGTCGACACGTTCACGATGCCGAATGGACACCCGGTCATCACAGCGCTGCAGCAGACGCTGGAGGACT